TGACCTTTAACAGGTACTTTCGGGGAGTATCAGTCAAGTATTTTCTAGAATTCCAGAATAATGTTTTAAATACATCAGCTAGATGTATCCGTGCACTTAACCAAACCCCATTGCTATTTACTTTCAGAGATATATGTGTGCAAAGGGACAATTTCAATTTATTCTAACATTTCTCCTTAAAAAACACATCAGTTAAGATCTGGCAGAGCACTGGGGGAGCCTAGGTGGCGCAGTCAGTTCAGCTCTGGTCATGATCTCCCAGTTCATGAGTTCAAGCCCCACATCAGGCTCACTGCTGTCAGTGCAGAGCCCGCTTCTGATCATCTGCCCCCTCTCTCTGTCCCTGCCCCACTTGCTCTCTATCAATAATAAGTAAACATCTAAATGATAATAACAATCATCAGAGGTATTTCCAAAGATTTAACTACTAGGATATGTTTTATACTTTTTTTCCTTTTTTAAGTTTATTTATTTACTTTTGAGAGAGAGACAGACAGACAGACAGAATCCGAAGCAGGCTCCAGGATCCAAATTGCCAGTACAGAGCCCTATGCGGGGCTGGAACTCACCAACTGTGAACTCATGACCTCAGCTGAAGTCAGATGCTTAACCGACAGAGCCATCCAGGCGCCCTATATTTTGTTTTCAAGTAACAAACCAAAATATAAACAACATAAATTTCAAACAATGGGGATTAGTTAAGTACACTGATACATCTAGCTGATAGAATGTGTTTCTTAAATTTTTTAAAATGTCTTTTTACCTATTTTTGAGAGAGGGAGAAAGAGACAGGGTGTGAGCGGAGAGGGGCAGAGAGAGACAGAGATACAGAATCTGAAGCAGGCTCCAGGCTCTGAGCTGTCAGCACAAAGCCTGATGGGGGTGGTGGGTGTAGGGGGGTGACTAGAACCCTCCAATGGTAAGATCATGACCGGAGCCAAAGTTGGCCACTTAACCGACTGAGCCACCTAGGCATCCCTAACTGATAAAATATTATACAGTTATTAAAATTCATGTCAGGGGCGCCTGGGTGGCGCAGTCGGTTAAGCGTCCGACTTCAGCCAGGTCACGATCTCGCTGTCCGTGAGTTCGAGCCCCGCGTCGGGCTCTGGGCTGATGGCTCAGAGCCTGGAGCCTGTTTCCGATTCTGTGTCTCCCTCTCTCTCTGCCCCTCCCCCGTTCATGCTCTGTCTCTCTCTGTCCCAAAAATAAATAAACGTTGAAAAAAAATTTAAAAAAAAATAATAAAATAAAATTCATGTCAAAGAATAGAAATTTACCTAATAATAATATGACATATTATGAAACATGATATTGATTATGTCAATAAAAATATTGGATGAGGCATATGCATGGGGAAACATTTAAAAGTATATTTACTAAAATATGGAGAGTGATTATCTCCAAGTACTGTATTACAAGTGATTCATTTTGTCAGAGCTACCATTGCTGGACACAGCTCACAGTCTGCCATCCAATCACAAGGGTAAACAACTGATACACTTACAACCATTCTGTACCCATGCAACCATTCTGTTCTTCATTTTTAGTACAGAATTCAATGAATTACATGAGATATTCAACATTTATTGTACAATAGGCTTTGTGTTAGATGATTTTGCCCAACTGTAGGCTAATGTAAGTGTTCTGAGCATGTTTAAGGTGGGCTAGGCTAAGCTATGATGTTCAGTAGATTAGGTGTATTAAATGCATTTTCAACTTAAATGATATGTTCAACTTACAATGGGTTTATCAGGATGTAACCCCATTGTAAATTGAAGAAGATCTATACTATGCCCAGAGGCTCCTTATTTCTTGATTTTTTTGTTTGGAGATAATAAATTTCTATTCTGCTCAGTTTATTTGAACTGGTATTTTCTGCTACTTCCAAGTAAATGCGTCCTAATTGGTGTAATTGGAAAAGACAGAGTTCAGCAAACTTCCTGTAGATAATTTTGTTGTAGCACAACTACCAGGGAGGAGGGAAGAATCAGGACCTAAAGGCTACCCAAAACAAAAAATGATCTAAAAGTTGAGGAAGTGAGGAGTTGGCAAAAATACATTTTGGTGAAACCTTCTTTGATCAGAACGTGATAAAAGGAATTAAGCAGTTTTCTTTTACATCTAATTAAATAATCGCCATTTCATATTTTTCAAGTTTTTCTTCTAGAAAAAAACTTGAGTTTTGCTTGACAAAAATGTTCAAAACAATACAATTTTTGGTTTTCAAAATTTTAAAGTGACTCATGTATTAGTCTCTAAATTTTACTCTTCTCTAAAGTCTTCCAGTACATTTGTTTTTTTTGGGTTTTTTTTATATTTTTATTTATTTTTGAGACAGAGCATGAGCAGGGAAGGGGCAGAGAGAGGGAGACACAGAATCTGAAGCAGGCTCCAGGCCCCGAGCTGTCAGCACATAGCCCAACACAGGGCTCGAACTCACAGACTGTGAGATCATGACCTGAGCTGAAGTCGGACGCTTAACCAACTGAGCCACCCAGGCGCTCCTGTTTTTGAAGCACACTATTGGGAAACTACTCCCGATTGTAAGATTTTATTTTCATGTACCTAAATCTATGAAAGGATCAGATTGTGGTTCAACATAATTTGCTCATGGAACTTATATAAAAGTAGGCAATGTCATAAAAACCTATTAAAACAAGATGAAAAATTGATTATTTGGTTAAGAGTACTAGAAAAGTAATTCAGCTTTAATATCTTCTTGATTTATCTTATAAGGAGCAGAAAAATCTATTGTATGAGCTTCTCTTAATTTCTTTTCCTTTGATGTTTCTTAAGTTCTGTAACTGCCTTTTTGATAGTTGTTAGCGTCAGTTACTAATAATTCCTTCTTATCATTTATAAAATATAGTTTGCGACCTTTACCCAGAAAGGTCGGCTCAGGTATTAATAAATAACTTTATTATTTCAAGGTTGGGTTCTCTATTCATGTGAGTTTTCAGTTATTGATTTTGACTCTAGTAGCTACTATATTTTTTTTGTTGATGATTTTATTTGGTTACTCATATTTTTTTTAAATGTTTATTTCGAGAGAGAGAGTGAGAGAGAGTGTGTGTGCATGCACACACACACGAGTTGGGGAGGGGCAGAGAGAGAGAGGGAGAGAGAGAGAACTCCAAGTAGGCTCCACACTCAGCATAGAGCCCGATCGAGTGGGGCTCAATCCCATGACCCTGGGATCATGACCTGAGCTGAAATCAAGAGTTGGACACTCAACTGAGCCACCCAGTCACCCCTATTTGGCTATTCATATTTTAAATCTTGTTTTTAACTAGTGATTTCTAAGTTTTGACACTTGATAATCTGAGTGTTTCTGTACAATGTGTCTGGACTTGGCTTAAGTACTGAAACCTTTGGTTAATGATCAGAGACATTTAGGTGGTCCTAGGTGGTACTTCTCAACCTTTGTCCACAGGACACACTTGACCCTCCTATCAGTTGTATGCAAATACAATTCATTAATTGTAGCTCCATTCGTCTTTTCATCTGGGAAGCAGAGCTTTACAGGCATTACCTTCAAACCAAAAACAAATCATTAGAAAATATTGGCACTTTCCATCAGCAACAAATTACCAGAACATCCCTCCTGACACTTCATCACACTACACTGATGCCGCATGATGCCTCATGACTCCCAGTGAAAAACACTACTCCAGTAGTTATTACAATACACTGGGAAACAAGAAACAAAAGACAAAAAATAAAGCCCCTCCCCTGCCCCCCACATTGGAAAATAACCCTTGTTCGGGCAGTAACTTACTTCTCTGTGCCTCAGTTCTCCTTGCATACAAAATGAAAGCTACAAGAAATTCTCATGAAAATATTAATTGTTTAACATTATTGTTTTGAGAGTTTCAATTCAACAAAATAGGGAGGGAATCGAGTGTAGAAGGCCTTAAATGCTTGGCTGAGGAGTTGGACTTTAATGTAACAAAGATGTGTAAAGATTATTAAACAGGGTAGCAGCATTATCATCAATGTCTGTGTGTTAGGAGGAAAACTAGCAGCAGTATGTAGAATGGAGGAAAGAGATGGAAATAAGAAAAGTTAGGAGAGTATTGAAAAGGTCAAACAGATACTGAGCGTAATTGCTGTGGAAGGGAGGAGAGGGGCGAGTGGGAGATTTAAGAGATAACACAGAGGGGCACCTGGGTGGCTCAGTCGGTTAAGCGTCTGACTTCGTCTCAGGTCATGATCTTATGGTCCGTGAGTTCGAGCCCCGCGTCGGGCTCTGTGCTGACAGCTCAGAGCCTGGAGCCTACTTCCGATTCTGGGTCTCCCTGTCTCTCTGACCCTCTCCCATTCATGCTCTGTCTCTCTCTCTCTCAAAAATAAATAAACATTTAAAAAAAAGAGAGATAACAGAAAATCAATTATAAATGTAACAATTTGTTACTAAATGGTGTGATGAGTGAGGGAGAAGAAGGAAGGATTTGTATAGGACTTTGAGGCTTCCGGTCTGAAAATTTAAAGATGCTGATGCCGTTAAGTGGCTGGAAGCACAAGGATAGCTTGGGTGTTTGAGTGTGTGCTTGTGTGTAAAGGTGACATGAGGCAAAGGTTTAGGAATAATTTGTCTCATCTTTTGGATTGGACACCCACGTGGTGCCATCCGGCTGGACAGTTAGAGTGGATTTGGAGGCACTTGTTCATACAAATGAAAGGAATACTCTTGTAACGCAAACAACTCATTTTTATAGTGCTCAACCATTAGTGCCCCAAACCCTGAGGTTATTACCTCATCAACAGTAAAAGCTTGATTACAGCTGACTGTGTGAAGGCCCTTAGTTCTCACAGTTTCTATGGGCAAAATATTAATTGCGATTAATTATCATGTGGCATAATACAAAGACAAGATGACTTATTGTGGCTTCTGGAGAGCGCTTGCTTGGTTTTTTCACTGCAGCCCTCGGGGAAAGGGAACTGGACAGCTCCCCGGGTGGCATTGGGCTCCTTCCGGGTCAGAGCCGGCCAGCTGAGACCTGCCAGCAGCCATGTGGGTCTGGGCCTTTGGGGCCTTTCCGACTAGGGTGCTTCGACCTTGGGCGGAGGGCCCTGCCTTCCTTTTTCCTACCGCTCATGGCCCCCGGCCCTCGGCTCCAGGGCGGGGCGGAGCGGGCTGCTCCGAGGCCCCGCCCCCGCCTGCCGCCACCAGCCCCGCCCCTCCCGCTGCTGCCGGCTCTCTCCGGCCCCGCGGTGCGGTGCGCGCCTGCGCTGGCCCTCGACTCGGAGCAGCCATGATGGTGGGTGTTCTCAGCGGCGCCGAACCCCGGGCGCGCGGTGGGGGCGGCGGGCGCGGGGCGGGCGCGGGGGCCGCGCCGGCCTGGCACTAATGTCTCCCTTTGTGTCTCCCCAACTCCATCTTCTCCCCCGGTGCGCCGGGCCCGGCAACCCCGCAGGAAGGCCTGGACGACGGCCCCGACTTCCTCTCGGAGGAGGACCGCGGAGTAAGTTCTGCCTCCTTCTCGCTGATGGGACCCTCCCGCCCCCGCCTTGGCCCCCGGGTGTGGTACCCGGCAGGGTCCCGGGTCCCACGGCCCCTTTCCCTCGCCGTCCTCCTTTCGGTTTCCTCGCTGCACCGCGCCCCGCCCTCCTGCAGCCCTTCCTCCCTCGGGGCCGCTCCGTTCTGATTTCCCGAGGACCCAGGACCGCTTGCTTGCCCCTGACTCAGACCCTCCGTTGGACCTCCTCCACCGCTTGGGTCGGGGCAGGTGGGGAAGTGGAGGTGGAGGCCGGAGCTGGATCCCTCCGTCCCCTCACCCTCGACACTTTAGGGGCTGTGAAAACCCATTCTCAGATCTTCTGGCGGCACCTTCTTGTGGACCTCCAACCCGCTGCCGCCCACCCTTCTCTCCTAAAACAGACATAGTACAAGCTTTTTCTAAATTACCCATTTGCAAGGAATTTCACTGTCGCGGAACCTTAACTCTTCTCCAGTATCCTGCCAGATTTTGCAAAGTGCTGGAAGCTCACGGTATCTTTACGTTTCTTACTGTCCAAAAAATACATCTTTTGCAGAGTTCCCTTGGTGGTAGTTTGAGGCCAATTGCATGCCACTTAAGAAAGGGCTTCCAGGCCTCCTATTCCTCCCTCCCACTCTCTCCACCCCCACCCCCCCCATTTGCCTTGGCTCAAGGGTGTAATCTGTATAGTGCCTTGTACAAGTGAGCACTTGAAAAATATTGATGTATGATGATTGCAGCTCAGCAAGGTTCCTTGGTTCCATTACATTTAACAGACTGCACTTCAGTTTTCCATTTGCCTTTACTTATTCATGTCAGATGATGTGGGGGACCCATCAGTTAGTTGATTTTTGGCAGGTCATAAAATATTCTTGAAGGATATTATTATTGTTTTTTAAATACAAGCTGAGGTAGTATTAACTGATGAGCTTTATAAAGCTTTCAAATGATAAAAAGGATGCAGAGGGGGCTGCATACTTTTATAATTGATGTTTTAATAAATTTCTCAATTTACACAAAAGCATCATTTAGAATTTCTAGTTAGTGTGAAAGCATCATACGTATGGATTTCTGGTTGTTTTAAATGTTTATTTATTGATTGATTTTGAGAGTGAGGGGCAAAGAGAGAGAGAGAGAGAGAATTGTAAGCAGGCTTCACACTCAGCATGGAGCCCAAAGCCTGGCTTGATCCCACCACCCTGGGATTATGACCTAAGCCAAAATCAAGAGTCGGATGCCCACCCAACTGAGCCACCCAGGCGCCTGTAGATTTCTGGTTATTTCTAAAAAAAAAAATTAGTTTCTAATGAATTTTTAAAAAACTGTGTGTGTATATGCATCTTCTGGGATAAGACGGTGGAGTTAGATAGATGGTCACTTATAGATTACATTTAGGATTTTAAAATAGGGGAAACCACTAGAGTTGTGTAACGAAAGGAGATGAATTGATTATAGTCCAATTAAACTGATTTTTCTAAATATAAAGCAGTTGGCATTCTTTATTTAGATAACTTTGTGTCTAATTTTTGTGGTCTACCAGAAAAAGCAAACAGGATTTGCTTTCCTATAAAATCTGACTAATGTTGAGTAAAAATACTAATTTTTTTGAGTATTTATGTTGATATGAAAAGTATTTTCTGGTTAATATTCACGTTCACTGCCTTATGCCTTTGGTACGATTTGTTTATGAAGTTGGAAGCACTTACGTAATGTGGCCAAAAACTTTTTTCATGTATTCCAAAATTAAAGGAAAAGGGAGACAAAGAGCATGCCTGACCAGGAGATTTTTGTAGAATTTTAGAGATGAAAATTTTAATATGAAAATGGAAAAAACATTACCATGAATTACAAAGCATGTAGAATGTCATGGTGAATATGTATATATGTCTGGTTCTTCCTAATTTTTGTCCTGTGGAACTGGATAAATCATAGTAATAATTATAGGTGTGCACCGTGTTAAGTACTGTATAAGCATTGTTTCATTATATCCTCTCATCATCTTTGTGAAACTTAGTATTCGCCTTTTACACGTGAAAAATCTGAACCTTGGAGAAACTAAGTGGTGTGAGGTCACACAACCAATGAGTGGGAGAGGTGGACTTTAAACCATGTTTCTGATGCCAGAACCAGTACAAGTATTTCTCAGAGTGGCCTTGAAACACTTGCTTCAGAATCACCTGAGGTGTTTGGAAAACAAAACAAAAGTTTCTGGGTTCTGCCCTCCTGAAGCAGGGAGAAGGACAGATAACTGCTTTTTTTTTTACATCTCGTTTCTTTTTCTTCTTTTTTTAATCCGAGTGTAATTGACATACACTACTTTTTCTTTCTTTTTTTTTTTTTTTAATTTAAATCCAAGTTAGTTAACATATGGTGTAATAATGATTTCAGGAATAGAATTTAGTGATTCATCACTTACATATAACACCCCGTGCTCATCCCACCAAGTGCCCTCCTTAATACCCCTCGCCCATTTAGCCCATCCCCCCACCCACAACCCCTCCAGCAACCCTCAGTTTGTTCTCTGTATTTGAGTCTTTTGTGGTTTGTCTCCCTTTCTTTTTATATTATTCTTGCTTCCCTTCCCTTATGTTCATCTGTTTTGTATTTTAAATTTCACATGAGTGAAATCATATGATATTTGTCTTTCTCTGACTGACTCATTTCACTTAGCATAATACCCTCCACTTCCATCCACCTTGTTGCAAATGGCAAGATTTCATTCTTTTTGATTGCTGAGTAATATTCCATTGTGTGTGCATGTGTGTGTGTGTGTGTATATATACACACACCACATCTTTATCCATTTAACTGTCAGTGGACATTTGGGCTCTTTCCATACTTTGGCTGTTGTCGATAGTGCTGCTATAAACATTGGATGCATGTGCCCTTTTGAATCAACATTTTTGTATCCGTTGGATAAGTACCTAGTAGTGCAATTGCTGGGTTGTAGGGTAGTTCTATTTTTAATTTTTTGAGGAACCTTCCTACTGTTTTCCAGAGTGGCTGCACCAGTTTGTATTCCTGCCAGCAGTGCAAAAGGTTCCTCTTTCTCTGCATCCTCACCAACATCTGCTGTTGCCTGAGTTGTTAATCTTAGCCATTCTTACAGGTGTGAGATGGTTTCTCATTATGGTTTTGATTTGTAGTTCCTTGCTGATTGAGGTTGAGTATTTTTTTCACATGTCTGTTGGCCATCTGGATGTCTTCTTTGGAGAAGTGTCTATTCATGTCATTTGCCCATTTCTTCACTGGATTATTTGTTTTTTGGGGTGTTGATTTTGATAAGTTTGTTACAGATTTTGGGTACTAACCCTTTATTTGATATGTCATTTGCAAATATCATCTTCCATTCGTCGGTTGCCTTTTAGTTTTGTTGATTGTTTACTGTGCAGAGGCTTTTTATCTTGATAAGGTCCCAATAGTTCATTTTTGCTTTTGTTTCCCTTGCATCTGGAAACCTGTCTAGTAAGAAGTTGCTGTGGGTGAGGTCAAAGAAGTTGTTGGCTGTTTTCTCCTCTAGGATTCTGATGGCTTCCTGTCTTACGTTTAGGTCTTTCATCCATTTTGAGTTTATTTTTGTGTATGGTGTAAGAAAGTGGTCTAGGTTCATTCTTCTGCATGTCCCTGTCCAGTTTTCCCAATGCTGTTTGCTGAAGACTGTCTTTTCCATTGGGTATTCTTTCCCACTTTGTCAAAGATTAGTTGGCCATATGTTTGTGGGTCCATTTCGGGGTTTTCTGCTCTGTTCCATTGATCTGTGTGTGTGTGTTTGTGCCAGTACCGTGCTGTCTTGATGATTACAGCTTTGTAATAGAGCTTGAAGTCCAGAATTGTGATGCCTAAGCAGCTTTGGTTTTCTTTTTCAGGATTGCTTTGGCTATTCAGGGTCTTTGCTGGTTCCATACAGATTTTAGGATTGTTTGTTCTAGCTCTGGACATACACTACTTTTTCAGCAAGCATCCAAGAAGTTTCTGTTGGGCACTGAACTTTGATTATAGCTTCAGTTATCCTGCTATTTCCTCATTTCAAGAACAGAAATATCTGGCCTGTTTAAATTTCCTTACATTGTGTTTGTCCTGATAGGAATAGGTTGTCATTAGAATTTTAAGCATTGTAATTTTAGTTTAGGTTATCTTGTTCAGCCTTTTAAGAATGAGAGTCTTGGGGCGCCTGGGTGGCTCAGTCGGTTGAGTGTCCGACTTCGGCTCAGGTCATGATCTCACAATCCGTGAGTTCGAGCCCCGCGTCGCGCTCTGTGCTGACAGCTCAGAGCCTGGAGCCCGTTTCAGATTCTGTGTCTCCCTCTCTCTCTGCCCTTCCCCTGTTCATGCTCTGTCTCTCTCTGTCTCAAAAATAAATAAACGTTAAAAAAAAGAATGAGAGTCTTGATAGAGAAAAAGCATGAAGTGCATATATTGATAGGAATTTTGATATGAATCACAGATTCAAAAATAATGCAAGCATTTCATACAGAGCAGCAAGTAAGCAAAGTTAAAGTCAGTATTTTAAAATACATTTTTAGGGGTTCATAGGTTGCTCAGTCAGTTAAGTGTCCAACTCTTGATTTCAGCTTGGGTCATGATCTCACGGTTCGTGGGTTCAAGCCCTGCTATTGGGCTCCGTGCAGAAAATGCAGAGCCTGCTTGGGATTCTTTCTCCCACTCTCTCTTCCCCTTCCCCACTCATGTGCTCACTCTCTCTCTCTTTCAAAATAAGTAAACTTAAGAAAAATAAGTAATAAAACACATTTTTAAGCAGCCATAAATTTTCATGATGATATTTGGAACAGAAGAGAATCTTACAGCCTTAAGAAAATACTGTTTTATGAGTAACTTAAAAAGCAGGCTTTAAAAAATACACAGTATTGAAAAATACTGGCCATCCTGTAGCCATACCTCTACATAATAGGCTATTTTTTCCCCAAAATGAAAGACAGTAACATATTATTTAGTAAACAAATGAGGCCTTTGAACTGGACACATTT